TGTGATTTCCCATTTGTACAGGACCCCTCACCCTTCACTCACAGACACCACATCAAATGTATGGTCATGCATCGAATGGCTCCTCTGGTGACTACTCCTCAGATGAAAGTTTCACTTATCTTGTGGAATTATGCTTCTGGGAAACTTATAGGCTGGCGGAAGCGTGAAAAGATTTGACAGTTCTCAATTGGGGTTCCGCCCTCACACTACAATCAATAGTCGGATTCAGTGTTCGGTTGGCTGTTAATCCTAAAATACGCTTCTTTTCTATATCCAGCTTGGGCTGTTGTGTATGATATTATATACCAACTGAATCATGACAACCTAGTCCCACTTTATATGGCTGTCTGGTTAAGGCATCCATGAATGTTGCTCGTTCGTTGGTGCTTTGTACTATCATCCATGCCGCCATTCACGCGGAAGCTGAATGGTTCTCTGCTACATACTTGTGGTGGCTGGATAACTAAGAACACTTCACAAAAAGGCATTTTAAATCTCCAAACAAATGCCAGTCCACGATCAGTTTTGGTAGAACTTTATTATATGATCATCGCCGATGCCTGCCCAAAGGATTTGGTACTGTGTCGGAGAGGGAGGCCGCCTGTGTATACGTTTGGCACTGAACTTTAAGAGTAAAACAATTCTGCCAATACATATCTAGAGACTCCGGCAGATTACTTGGATATCAAAAAGGCTACGGAAATATCTCATCATAGTTAACTTCGTTATTTGTACGGATCAAAAAGTAGCAAAGTTCACTCACGACCTTGGAAACTCTTTGGAATAATCCAGTAGGCAGCACAACACAGTAGAATTTCAATAAATTCATACAATTATGGTACTGAACATCGGCCTTCTAAGGAAATCAGGCACGTCGAGTATCTATCCTCTTGCCACCCTTTTTCATCCGACATCCGAACGTCTTTCTGTCCAAATTTCGTCGGGAAATAGCGTCTCAGTTTGACGCTATCCCAGTGCTGTGTAGCATTCAGAAAGATTGGAGTCTAAATGCAAAATGACACTGCATGAGCCATCTTTCTCAAAGTGATGGACTATCCGTCACTCTAAATGAAGTGCCGTGGCTTGAGAATATAGCAGTGAATGCCATGCTGGAAGATATCTCCTGATATCTTTGGAGAAGATGGGATGAAATCAACAACAAGTCTAGTCTGTTGGCGAACGAGCATCGGTCCTGAAAACTAGAGACAATGTTGGGTTTTTGGGATAGTTTGGTAATAAATCTACCGATTTTACCAGACTTTTCCGGAAACGATGACTGCTCAACCGGTTGCAAGCGTTTTTCAACTAATGGGGCAGAGTTGAGCTTCAAGATACTACCCAGCATGTTCTGTCATTATGGATCCCCTGGTCAACCTAGAGAGAGGCTGGCCGAGCATTCATTCAGATTATGGTTTATTCTTGAATCAGTATTACGAAATGGCAATACTCACTTTAATTCTGTCTTCTTAAATGGCGTGCAACTGTGAAGTTCTCCATGTACGCCTTGAGAAAAGGAGAACTTTCGACTAATGAGTCAGTGGCATTAAACATAATCATCATTGTCCCGCTCCTTGAAACACCTGCACAAGTGGATGCCGAGAATCCTGTGAAAACGTTTTAGAGCGCTATTCCATATTGTGAGGTCTCCTCAGGCTTCTAAGAGCGGGAAATAATGCCTGTAATTTCTTATTGCAGTACAAGAATGCTTCTCACTGTGCAAAGGGTTAGAGCACTCCGGAACTATTCAGAGGATGCTGATAGGGTTCCGATACATGGTGTTCAAATCCTACAGAGCTGGCGAATACATACGCTTGACGAATACATAAGACCTTACCCAACTTCCCTCATCAACATTTGAGATGCAGATTACAAACAATAGAACATATATGTCATATCATTCCGTTTATCTGTATACATACACACACACCAATATCCTTTGGTCATTGTAAAGCAAAATGCTTTTTAGACCAACATAACCTTGATTTACCTTGATTGACTGGTATTGTACTAAATCATTGGCCAGTGCACCGTGCGTATATTGGACTTTGATGGTTTGTCATTCCATATGCATCATAACGACCAGATATGTTTTGAGGACACGGACCAGACCTGCGTAACTTGTTTCCCAAAGCTGGTAATGCTCCAGTTGCTACTATCAGGGACGGCCAAGCACAATCATAGTGAGAAATTAGAGCGGTGTAAACTGCAAAATACCTCAAGGTTTAGTCAACCTACGGCGGTGTAGTGCTTGTTAGTAAGTGAACTTGAAACTTTTCACATACATTATATACATACATATACATAATGGGCTCGCACATTCCATACAATATTCAGTACTCCCTCCTGGATTGTTGGTTTTGTTTATCGAATGAAGGCTATTCTTTTATAGAATCCTCATTGAAGGTTACACATTTTCGGCCCGAATCCTAAGTCTTTAGGTTTCGAACTTTACGAACACGACCTCCATCGTCAAGCACTGTCTAGCATTTACCATTAAGTTATCAATTCTATTATCGTCCGTTGGACTATGTTACCGTAACGACCAACCGACCCGGACGAATTTCAGGACAACCTTTTTTTACAAGCTAAAACGTTTCCGCCTCTCAGCGACGTGATTCCCACTATCCTATCCATGCTATCCATAGAATTACGCACGTGTCACATACGAATTGGTCCACAAATCTTAGGTCCAAACTGGCTAACTCGAGTTGGTTTGCGAAAACAGATTTGGTTCAACACCGAAAGCAATGGCTTCAGAAAGACACCCCTGATTTGGTACCTGTTGCCCCCGATCACCATCAGTTTGACTTTTACCTTCTCCTTGTGTACGCATACCCATGATTCACGGCCTTCAACAAACTTTGGCACAACAGAAGAAAGGCATCATCTACCTGACTGAGAAGACTTGTTGTGAACAAATTCTAGTGGATAAGTTGGAACCCGTCGTTGAGTATGTGCGAACAAACTTGTATAAAAAAGGAAATGCCTGAAAGACGATATGTAAGCGTGAAAAAGGATACGAAATTCGTCCATGAAAACGAGTCCTCATAGGAGGACTTCGCCTACCTGGTAAGTCCCAAAAAGGGCGAAACCGATCGTGGGCTGTCGACCTTATGAGTAGTACACCACAAATATATACATGTATCGCGATATCTCGAATATCGTAGCGAGCGAAACATGAAGCAGCCTGGTGCAGCGCATTCAGTTGCCTGAAAACATCATAAACGAGAGGTTCAGCTGGGTTCCAGGCGAGTCTCTCGAAAAACAAAATGAGTTTACAAATGAGTTTCAAGTTTGTTTAACTATGCAGGTAAACGTGAAACAAAGAACAATAGAGGAAGACATACTTATCTGTTGTAACAACGTGAGTACTTCCGCTTTGGTGTATGCTGCAAAATCAGCCGTCATTTTCGTATACGATTGCTTCGGTGGCAAAAAGACAGGCAGCAGTACCAACCAGGCTACTTAGTGTTGCGGTTTCTCGACTCGCTTGAAGTGTCCGAACACATTAGTTTGTGGTAGTTTGGATAGGTTCTGCGGCAACTCAGATTTTGGTCAGTGCGTAGCCAGTTCCTGCACACCCCCGTTTTTAGTAGGCAGCCCGATACCCTAGCAATCGGAACTTCAGGAGGTATCGGATTTTCATTGGTTTTTTCTTCCCATGTGAATTAGATACAATTAAAAACGTTGATTGATAGCTGATTCGCTCCAGTCCGCTCTTTATGATGAAAAGGAAGGCAACATTGACGAGGCGAAACTACGTTTGGGTAATACAGTCAGTCACAGCTTTTGCATTGCGCTATGGGCAGCGGATCCGGAAACAGACAATCTCATTGGTGTCCCATATTATGTAGTCAAGTCTAGGCTGAACAATTCGCAGAGGTGATTTTACTCAAGCGACTCATCTGATAAATCAGATGGGTCCCGTACAGCTGTGCTGGCGGCATCTTCTCTATGGATCTGGGTAATGAGCTCATACTGAACGAGATTATCATTTCGCCCTGGTTGATGCCATCCAGATATCACATCGATACCAACTGGCAGGCTGTTTCAACTTTCTCTATAGTTTCTTGAGAGGTTGTAGGTTGGTGCTATCAGGAGTACTGCCAATGTTCGGAGATAAAAGCCATGGAATCGGGAACAGTCAAGTCGTGAGATGACGACAAGTGGAGAAATCAGAACAGCACTGATTTCCAGGGGGAAGAGGCTAACAACAAACTGAATGCGAAGAAAACGGACCATGACGCAACATAAATCCTAACTGGGCCAATAAAATTATGAGAAAACCACCACTCAACTGACAAATCACAGGCAATCTTCAAAGACCACATAAAAAGCAAGCGGGCAATAAGGAAATGTTCACTTGACCGCGCACAGACATCCCTTCGATTTGAGACGAAACGTGTGCAAGCCGATTTCCAAACCCGGCGAACAGGCCAACAACCACTTATGTGATACGTTATGCAGCATTCACACTTGCGCAGATTATGGAGAGATTGCTGCCTTCAGATCACACTACATGGAGACGGGTTAAGGCTCAGTAACGGTATCGGGAGGACTCCATTTTGTAAATTAGCATATCTTGTTTAGTCACTAAATTATCCTAGGTTAACTCCAGTACGTGCCATGAAACTAGGCGTTCGCAAATGATATGTTACCATAATGTATTTCGAAAGATTTCAAAGGGAGCAAGGAACTACTCGCTTCGTGGAGACGTTTGCATAAGAGGGTAATTTTGCCAGTTTTTGGGGAGCGAATAAGCGTTTACGTGAAATTCAAACATTGGGGAACCGAGTCTAGCTACAGGAACGATGGCCACGATGCCAGTGACAGGCATTCCTTAGATCATCCACACCTTTGAACAGCCCTCT